GATTATCGTATCCTGTGCCACTGTTTGTCGCCAGACCGTTGCAAAACAATTCTGACGGGAAAGCGAATCGAAAAGCGACGGATGCCGCAAGCATTTCGAGACAAATGAGAAAGTTCTGAATACCAGCGGCCACTGTACCAGCATTCGTATTCGGTAGCGCGGGCAACACCTCCAACTTTTCAAGTACGGCCAAAATCACACCTGAANGAAAGGTAATAAATAGTAATTTATCAAATCTACGGCTATTTAGCAAGCAGAAGCCTAGTTTTTAGTCAAACGCGCTCAACGTAATCGAACTATTTTACCTTATTCACCATAGCAAAATTAAACCATACGGAACATAAATGTGATAACCTGATCTAAATTCGTACAGACATGCAAAAAGTGGATCATTGATATCCGTATAGTTACTTATTTATCAAAACCAGTTGTTTACGCATGCAATCATCTGTAGCTAAATCGTGTTGTGGAAAGGCGGCAAACATTAGTAACGCCAACTGTGCAACATCATATGGCAAAACTAGCAAGACGGTTTCAGTCCTCCTTGTTATACTTGTACTACTGATAAAACGTTTAAGTAGGTGAATAAAATCTGCGATTTTGAGTCAGCGTTAAGAGATAGGTCAATTGAGGTAAGCAACACGTGTCATGTTTGTTGGAAAAAGGCACATTAACTATGAAAAAACTCTTGTTACTATGAATCGTGTATATAATTTTTCCCCTAACTGAAATTCAAATCTTCCCTGGAAATTTCATCTGAGCCTTTCAATTGTTAGGATACGTAATATCGATCAAGAACCAAAAAACCACGGGAAAATTGCAATGATTAGCAGTTAATTTGTATTGTACCGTTAAAGGCTCCATCTCTGATTGAAATTCCTCATCGAAGCAGCTGGATATAATTTAGTCGCTGATAAATAAAAACTGTTATTCGCTTTTATTTATCAGCGAATAAATTATATCCGGTTTCTTCGATGAGGAATTTCAATCGGAGGTCGAGCCTTTAACGGTACAATACAAATTAACTGTTAATCATTGCAATTTTTATGTTCCGGCGGTAAATTGATTGCAATAACTGATTGCTTCAAACAGTATGACGGATGATTGATGCAATAGAAAAAACGATAGCGAACATTCATAAGCTATTTCACTTTCGTACAAACCATTTCAATAATTACACCAAACTACCAAATGGTGTAATCGTAAATAAACATTTCAGGAAACCCCTAAATTATACCTTAAACCAATGATGGAGCCGCCCGCGAACGTAATCGTCCGATGAAAGTGATCTAAATTCATTGGATTATAACATACTGAAAAATGACAGCACATATGCAGTTATTCGGGGAATGAGATTCACGAACGTTCGACATGATAGCTTGGGGAAGGTGATTAAAGGCACTGGCATTTTATTTTTGATTTCAGTGACTGAATTCGTGATGTGTCCGGATCTCGTTTGATCACAATATACACACAACAAGATATCACACGTTGACACACGAGGAACACACGTACCTCAACGGCCACACTATTCGTCTAGCCTCACGAGTACGATCACAGCACAGATTGGAAGCCACGAGCACTAGTAGCCTTCTCCCAGCTACGTAAGCAAGAACACAGTTAGTACACAGCAAACGTGTACTCGACACACAGGAAAAGCAAGTCAATTTACAAGTTTTAATCTGATGCTTATATGTGTCTCAAAATAGCATCGATTGATGCAATAAAAAGATTATGCCAATCAAGTACAGTTAGCAAAGTTCGATCGATCATAAGTCACGGAGTTAGCGAATTTCAATCGATCACGGATCGGACGGACGGAGTGAATGTCTCCGTATGACGCGATATGATTGATTATTCTCCGCGAGATTGGTATTGATTCGAGATGTTCCGATTGCAGACACTCGAAAAATAGTCAGTTTTAGGTAAAAATAGTCTTTTTACCTAACAATTCGGTCTTAAATGTACAAGCAAATCGGTACGACCTAATAAAAGATTGATCTGTCATCCCTTCCTTTACTCAATACTTCAATAGTGAAGCCCCGAGCGCAGCCATTTGAAATTGAGTGTGAGTCATGTATGTCTCATTGGATCATTTGGTTCATGGTTGCTTGGAAGCCCCCTCCGCGGAAAACCTCCTGTGAGAAGTATATCCCACCTATGTATTGAGAGCGTCGGTGAGTGGCCAGGGATTGTGCGGCCCAGTCAACCTGCTAGTGTTTTGAGTGGATTTAGAGCTGGAGTAGGTCCTGCATACTACATCTTGATTGATTTGTGCCACTATTGTTGAGGATATCGATACATTATTACTTTCCGAAAGGCTGGGTAACTTATTTTACTGACCCATTTACATCAAACTGTTTAAAATATGAATCCCTGAAACTACAATCAGAGTCAACGGGGGCAGCTTTTTATCAGGCACAATAAATAATAATAATAATAATAATAAATAATGGTAAACTCTATAGACAAGAGGAACTACCGTTCACTTATAGTAACTGCTGGTCCTACAGTATAAGTGGTGTATCCAGCCAGGTGACAGCATGAGCACTGTGGTAACCCTTTTCACAACACGAATGAACGATCCAAAGAAATTTCCAGTTATGAAATGGTGGCGCTACTTTATTAGGAGCATTCTTATGCTAGATAAAATAACTTGTTTTCACGCAACGCTTCCGGTATTTAGCCATCGTTTGAGTGGTTCATCGTTTTATTTTGATCAGGACCTGTCAAATAAGGAAGATCTCGATAAATTGAACAATACACATGATTTTAGTTTCCCAATCTAGACTTCCGTTGACCGATAAGTTATGATACCAATGCCAGAATGGAGTACGCACACTTTGGTAGAAGAGATTTACCTTGCCAAAAACAGAGAAATACCACAGATTTCACTGTAGCAAATTTGATCACAGGATCAAACGGTTGTAAAATATCACGTGTAGCCAAGTAGAACAAGACCAGCGCGTAGAGAGCCATGAATGCGGACGCATTGTAGATCACAGTCACGTACAAATAGCCATTTTGGGGGCTGAGGTGTGAGAAATTTATCGAAAGCAATAGCTGTAGTTAAGATGTAGTATTTAACAAGAAGGCAATACATGTTAAATAAACCTTCGTTCGTGGGCATTGTCGTTCTGACATTATTTGTTGCACATATATTCACTAAATGTATATGACTGTATTAGCCCGAGGATGAAGTTATTGAAAACGAGCTTGTTCGCTACTCGTGTTGTTCTGTCAATATGCTGGATCATTAATCTGGCCACCGTGTTGAGAAGTAGACATAGGCTTGACCCAGTGCTCTAGGTCAATTTCATTCATGCAGTGACGGATAAAACAATAGGATTACTCTTCTCGAATTTCTTTTCAATACCGAAGGGTCTTTTCAATTCGGTTTTCACAGAATTTACCTGTAAGATTAAGAAAAAGACCCACATCATAACAGGATAAATCGAATCGAAGCATTTCGAGCATACTCAATCAGTGGGCTACGTATAATTGTTTCTACTTACAAATAGCAAAAAATATAAAACCACCGTTTTGTATGGAAGCAGTTTTAGATTATAGGACATTAATTTTTTAATGATCCTTCCATTAAAAAGATAATTTGGAAATGCGATTCGATTCCCATTCAACAGTGAACAATAAACAGACTATGCTATGCTATGGATCGGAAGAGAAAAAATACAAAACTTATCTCATGACGGACTGTCCGATTACTCCTCGTTACAAACGGAAACAGCACCGTGGTATTATTGACAGATGCACGTTGCTCTGTCCCACGATGATGCGTAACAACTCTGAACATTAGGATAGCAGAACAGCACATAGAAAGAACAAAACTCTACAACTCACATATGCATAATGTACACTTGTAAAAAAGCAAAGTGAACAACCGCTTTGATTGTTTGTTTTTTTGTTGCTCGGATTTTAGTTGAGGCTTCTCGATTTCAAATTAAGGAAATATTGCAGCTAGTCAGACAGTGACATTGTTTGCTGAATAAACGAAAGCGCCAACAGCACAGTAATTTTGCCGGTGCCTTGAAAACTTCATCAAACGTTCGTTTCTCCTCAAAATTTCAAAGTAAGCTATACTTATTCCACTACACATGAGTTTTCTACACCACGAAAAGTCATAAATCTCAGAATACACCCCAATAAGGACGTTTTCTTTTGGGTATCAGGATGGCAGAAATCCGAAAGCAATTAAATAATGAATGAATTTATCAATATTCTCGTCTTCCAATATTGTGAATTGGAAAATAAGCCATAAGCATTTGGTAGTGTGCACTAACGGGAATAAATTGAATCTATTAGCTTCCAACAAACGTTTTGCTGTCGTTTTCACGTTATTCAATCCACACTTTATGAAAGTCTATGCCTTAATTGCAGCCATTACGTGATGCAATCCTACAACAAAATATTGGCTTTATGATGTCCAGTTGGCTAGAGTTTCTGAAGAGAGATCGAAGTTTATTGCAGCGTGTAGCGCTAAGAGACAAGGAGTCGTGCTGAGACTATCAATGAACAATACTGAGATCAACGGACGTCATAGAAACACAAAAAGCAGCATGAATCTGAGTATACATCTGAGTATACATGGAACAGTTTCCCTTATGGACATGGTGCTATCTAAGATCACATCCATTGATCCTTAACCACTCTTTGCCCTATCAAATTTAACAATATTTCAGGGAAACCACTAGTTCCTCGAGAAGGTTTTGCCTGCCACGAGAGTGAACGTCGTCTTGAAAATTAACCCATTTCCATGAGAAACGAAGTCTTACAATAAGAGGCCACTGAAGATTCCGGAGAATTCGGGGAATTTCAAGAAATATTCGAGCAGTTACGTGAGTTCACAGGTTCTTACTTCACAGGTTCGTACTGGTCACTTCTGCCCTGGAACGTTCTAATATCGGTTATTGCGCATATTTTCCAGAACACGTAAGGCCGAATCATAAGTACGTTTAATGAGCATGTTTTCCCTGAAAGTGTTACGCGGTTGTAGTGCAACTTTCGCGCTATCCTTGTTGACTTCTGAATATGGGAGCTCAATAATTGGAGAGTTGGAACTGGATAATTGAAAGTGTGAGATAACATAGCTCACCTGAAAACTCCGTGCTTGTACACCCCCGATGCCTGTAAGATAATTGTGAGCAATGCAGTCAGAGGTTTGATCAAACAGAACTGCAGAGTGGCCTGAACAGTGTGAGGGAGAACGGGAGATGAGACAGAATGAAAGGAAAGCTGGGCGAAAAAGAGGTTGCTCCAGTGATAAGTTGAACGTTTTTATTTGGCATGTTGTTATGGCACATAGACACCAACACCCATGGTACTAACCACAACATCTGTTAATAGAATTTCGATGGAAACTCGTTTCATACCAATGACCAAAACCCACTAGTCCTAAGTAAATCACTCAGAAGAATGTTCTCAAGCGGAATTACGAGAGCACTATAGTGATCATTGGAGGTCCAGTAATTGGAAAACTATACCTCGTTTTATTCATGTCCTACTTTGATGCAGTGTTCGACAGAAAACTGTAGTGGTTGTAATTGAACAAATGCATGAGCGCATCAAACAGTAAAATTGTTTGACACGGTGGCCGAATGCGTTTTGAGCACTTGGTCAACAGAACACAGCATATTACTACCTTTTCTTGAGGCCATCACTCTGCCGTTTTCCATTTCACCTTTGTCTTCTCACCCACTCCACAACTATAGCATTGGCTATCACTACTAGCCTTGTCATATTCGTTTGCTCTGCTTGCTCGCCTCTGTCATCTTTATAAACTGAGCTTTAATCAGTCAATCCGATATTCGTACTATGATTGCCTTATTTAAAGAAACCGCCTGATGCAATATATCAAAAAGAAATTTCCTCGCGAACACCGTTTTTTGCATTGTTTGTGGGAATATTCAGCCGTTAATAATAAATCAAACACAATGAGGATAAAAGAGAGAAATGATGTCTCTAACTACCTACTTCGCAATCAAAAGTTTTGATTTGCGAATTCTAAGAAGTGGGGAAATTGAGCAAAGATGCTTTCTGGATACAGCTGAAATTTGGGTCGACAAGGCTGCGAGATATCTATGGCCTTATTTTTAACTTAATTGACATACGTTTTTACGAATAACAGAAAACAATTTCGAAGCAGAAGGGGACTCAGAAGGGGATAAAAA